CACCCCTCACCCCCAGCCCCCGGAGCCAGGCTGAGGCACGGGAACACAACCCAGGCTGCTGGAGGAGATCCCAAAGGCTCCAGAGCAGGCAGAGGGAGGCTGGATGGGCACACAGGCCCAGCAGCTCCGCCAAGGGCAGAGGCACATGATGACAGCAAGATGGGGAGAACGCTGCCAGGGCAGCTGACAGCCCCCCTCCCAGGGGACACCCCACACAGAGAGATGGGTCACCCGTGGCCGAAGTCCAAGGGATACTTGGGACACCAGAAGCCATGTGGGGAGGCTTCCTGGTGAAAGCAGAGCCTATCTCCCTCCCAGAGAGCAGCCCAGGAAGCGTGGCATGTCACACCAGCCAGCTCCAGCAGCCCCTGCCCACCCTCTGCACTCACCATACGTCTGGACTGATGATCTCAAGGCCAGGAGGGAGAGGATACAAGGTGAGGACCTTGTCCCATAAGGCCAGGAGCCACGGATCGATCACTGCATCTGGCCTGCAAGCAGGAAATTCAGGCTGCAGCCCTTCTGGCTCACACACTGCAACCCAGACAACACTGGGCAACCATCTCTGCCCCCCTTTCACTGCACAGCCACCGTGCCCCACGTGAGGAGAATGGCAGCACAGCTCAGGCTGCAGCTACATGGTGGTGTGACACAGCTGGCCCCTGATCTGAATGGGACAGGGACAGAGCTGGCAGGCACTGGCACATGCTGGGGGTTGTAGGACAACCTGGAGAAGCAAGTGCCCCAGGTCCTGGTACAGGAGAGGGATGAGCAGAGACCAGCATGTTCACTGAGGGCAGCAAGATGCTGCTGGCCCCAAGATTGCCCAAAGCACAGCCAGCCCTGCTGCCAGACCTGGGCTGGGCTGCAGGGCACCCCAGGGCTCCCCCCTGGCCACACCTCCACCAGGCTCTTACCCCAAGTCGTGCTGGTCATCTCCCAGTGCCACTGGCAGCAGAGGGTTGCCCCCAAGCTGTAGAAGTCGTTTGTGCAGCTTCTTTGCAACAAAATTAAACCTGAGTGGAGAATAACCACAGCTGCAGCAGGACAGGAGTGTGACACCAGCCAGCACATGCTGCTGGGGCCGTGCTGCACACAGGCAGGGCCAGGCAGAGCCAGCACACACAACCCGGCCCTAGGCCCTGCCACCACCCTGGGGCAGCACAGAAAAGCACCTGACCACCATTTGCTGGGCCACACAGGCTGTGCCCAGCTCCCAGAAGGGACGTGGGCAGCTCCAGCTTCCCTTCAGGGCAGCTTTTGCCCCGGAGGGAGAAACATTTCCTTCCCTCTAGCCCCTCACAGACCCACAGAGCTCAGGCACACTCCCATCCCTCCCACTACAGCTTTTTGGGCACATGGGAACAATCTTTTGGCAGAGAGCTGGGACCAGCAGGACTGGCTGCCACCTAAAACTCTGTGTTTCATGTCTCCTGCTGTCTGGGCCCACTGAAAGTGCTGTGGCACAGGCTCCCCTGCCACTCAGCCAGAGTGGCTGGAGTAACTGGCTGGGTAACGACACTGAAGCAAAGCAGCTGCCTGAATTGATCAGGAGGAAAGAAACAGGCAGAAACCCAGTTCCTGGTGGTCAGGAGGGTCACGGGCTGGCAGGGCACAGATTTTAAAGCTGGTGGGAATTACATTCCACTTTCCCTGCTCTGGGGTCAGGCTCTGGCTGCCCTTACCCGCTTTGTTCTCCAGCCACCGCGGTCTCGCCTGCAGGCAGAGCTGTGAGGAGCAGCTGTGGTGGGCAGGGGCAGGCAGGGAGCCACGCAGCTGCTTACTTGGGATAGGAGGAGTCGCCAAGGCCCAGCACGGCGTAGTCCAGCTGGCAGAGGGAGCCGGGCGGCAAGTTCTTCCGGAACAGAAACCGCCAGAACATCTAGGGAGGACAGGGCCGGGGAGTCACGCTGCTGCCAGGGAGCCCTCCCTGCCTGCCTGCCCACCCCCAGCTCCCCACTCGCCACCCACCGGGTCCCTCCTGCCCTCCGCTGAGTCCCAGCTGAACGGGGAGCACAGCCTGCTGCAGAGGTCACCCCTGGAAGCAGCCACCGCTGCTCCCTGCCAGGAGGATGCTGCTCTGTGAGCCCTCCACAAGCCCGTGGCTCTTTTGGTGGTGGGGCCCCTCGCAGGTGCTGCTGAGCTGCTGACACCTCTCCAGCTCCCTGCCCATGCCCCATCAGTAACACTAGGTGTGACTGGTGCTGCTCCAAAGCTCCCTGCTCCAGAAGTAACCCACTGCTCAAGCTGCTTCAAGAGAGATGTCCAGTCACTGGACCAGGAACAGAAAAGCAATGTGGAAAGGAGCACATCCTACCTTCATGTTGTCAGGTGGGTCACCCTGGCCGGTGGTTGCACAGACAAATACCACCAACAGCTCGTTGATCAGGTTGGCCTGTGGGCACCAACATGGAAAGGAACATTCAGGTCAACAGCCTACAAATGTGTGTCCTGGCTGTCCCGAGACGGCTGCTCACACCACATCCCATTCATGGACAGACCACCCTCAGAATAAAACCATGGGGCACGACCTCCCCTGCAGGCACTGCAGCATCTGCTGCCCACAGGCTGCCTGCAGCTTCAGCTCCTTGTGCTCCTCACCTTGCAGGGGACAGCTGAGCATCTGCCACCTAACACAGACTCTATCCCAAGGGTCACTGAATCAGATTAAACCAAGAATTGTTTTGGTTGGAAAAGACCTTGTGTCCAACTGTTAACACAACACAGTCCACCACTAAACCGTGTCCCTCAGCACGACATCTACACAGCTTTTAAGTATCTCCAGGGCTGGGGACTCCAGCACCTCCCTGGGCAGCCTGGGCCAAGGCCTCACCACTCTGCCAGGAGAGAAATTCTGCCTAATATCCAACTGAAACCTCCCCTGGGGCAACTTCAACCCATTTCCTCTCATCCTACTGTTGGTTACTTGGGAGAAGAGACCAACCCCCACCTCACTCCAACCTCCTTTCATGTAACTCTAGAGAGCAAGAAGGTCTCTCCTCAGCCTCCTCTTCTCCAGACAATCCAAATCCCCTCAGCTGCTCCTCACCATCCATGTTCCCCAGACCCCTCCCCAGCTTCATTGTCCGTTGCCGTTCTCTGGACCCACTCCAGCCCCTCAAGATCCTTCTGCTGCGGTGCCCAACCCTGACCCTAGCCTGAAGCTGTGCCCCCCCAGGGCCGAGCCCAGGGGCACGACACTCCCTGGGCACACGGGCTCTGATCCAGGCCGCAATTCGGACACCACCGCACCGTTTC